AAAAAAAAAAAAAAAAAGAAAAAAAAAAAAAAGAAGAAGAAGAAGAAGAAGAAGCAAAGACATTCAGAAAAACGGAAAAAAATACTATGTTATGCAGAAAAATAAACTGAACAACTTTTGCCTCAGGGTCACATCGAAACTGTTTAACAATCCGCTTCTGCTAAACTCGGAAGGGCTTCCCTTTTGATGTTTTGGACCGAGACAATTTGGAAATGCTTGGATGTCTAGAGGGATTGGCACCGTCGCAGACATATGGGATGTTACTACGGCTGACTGGAAAACGGCTGAGAACCTTGCCCCGAGACTGCAGGGGCTGTGGCATCAGGTGGAGAACTTGCAACAGTTGAGGAATGCTGTTCCTCACCAATGGATAGATGTATTGAGGACGGGACTTAGGCCGGTAAAAGGGATGTGGTACAAGCAAGCGCAGCAGGAAGTGCAGGACTGTGTTTGGAGGATAGAAGACTACTTGGAGGTGGTGGAGATTCCTACCACCTGCTGGAGGGTGCAAGGAGGTGCACAGTCTCTGGGAGAACCTCCGCAACTCAATGAGGAGCAGCTCCCCTTCGCCCGCGCTGGCCAACTGACGCCGGTTTGTGTGTTGGAACACGAACAAAGCTACAGACCATACTGTATACAGGTCCCTGCTTTTAATCTGCCAATTGACCCCAGAGATTGGGCGTGGAAACATCCGTTGCGAAATGAACTGGCGAGCCTATCAGAATACACTACAAAAATGGGATACTTAATAATGACACCACGACCAGATATCAATTGGACTGTAGCCAGAAGATGGATGGCGACAGGATGGATCCAGGACTCTCTGACAAGGTTGTCTGTGGCCCTTTCAACTTTTTGGAAACTGTTGATGGACCTGGTCGTAAGCAAGCATGCGAGCCTGCTCTGGCTCTTGATGCACTTAGCACTCCAGGTCAACACTTGGTGTGCTAAAAGAACCGCGAAGGCTGTATCGGAAACTTTAAGTCAAATATGCCCAAGAACCCGAATCGAAGACATTCAACACTTTGTGCTGCAATGTGAACTCTCCAGACCCTTTTGGGAATGGTGGAGACAATCGGATGTCCCGATTCCCGGGAGCGGACACCCGTTGGGGGGACAACTACATCCTCCTTGTGACTGCAGCTAGGAGAACTGCGATACAGGTACAATTTGCCCATGTGGAAGAGACAATCAGAGGTGCCATCCTGTGGACCCTATGGAACCTCAGAAATGCGAGAGTGCGGAAGGGGGAACACCTTACACTGCCAATGGTGCCGGCAGAAATTAAATACGCTATCAAGCAGGCTATCTCCGCAGGTTGGGAGTACCGGGTGCAAAAAAAGGATTTCTCGGCAAAGGCTATCAAGTGGTTTTGTTGCAGATGGGATGCTTTCTCGGGCCTGGCTAGAGTGGACACTCAGCTGGACAGCCCACCGATGTTGCCATTCTCTACCTTCTTTGTATAATAGGTTGTATGAGACCTTCCGAGTTCTTTTTAGTACATAGTGAGAATGGTTAGCAAAGTAGTTCACATCTTGGTAACAAAGTTGTGTGCAACAAAGGTGTGAGAGAACAGTTGGGTGACTCTCTGGGTATGTAGTTGGTGGTACTTTGAATGAAACATTGAGAAATAGTCTAGCTGGCATGCTACTGGGGTTAGTGCTCTGAGCAATTGCTCATCTAGCTAGGCTGCTTTTCCTTTTCCTTGTTTTGGTTTTCTTTTTGTTTTGACTAACCACCCAAGATAGGTCTTTTTGCTGTGCTAGGGATGGGTTTGGCCAGGAGTGCCTTGCCCAGCCCAACAGACCATGGCATAAATGTAAGGGACGCTGGACCCGGTTTCCGGCAGAATGGGATGGTAAAAGTTAAAAAAAAAAAAAA